TGTAGTCATAATTCACAAAACAATTAAATGCAGAAATGAAGGAAGAAGAAAAGGCGCGAATGCCAAAGGAGGGAAATTGTAGCGTACACACTTACATAGTAAGCTTGCTTTTTCTCTACAGCCGTTGAGATTAGATTGGATGGCTGAAATTGATCCTCACATAGTGTCCTCATTTAGGAGTCCTCGTTAGAGCCCAGGGCTAATATGTAGCTCTAGCTGTGTTTGGGCCAAAAATGATTTGCCCCAATGTCATGGGTTTAAAAAGAAAAATAAAAACAATTGGGCTCAGACTTTTCTCGATCTCCAGATTGAAGAATTGGATCACAAATAAACCTAATACCTAAAATCTAGCCATGAACCCTAATGCTTATGCGGGGAACATATTCTAAATCACATATCAAACAAGCAACACTCAATCAAAATTTCATTAGTAGCCTCGTTCTTTTATTATATTTATCTACTTTTTATATCAAATTTTAATATTTTATTATAAGAATTAGTCTTAAGTGTATTCTTAGTGCATATAAAACTAAAACTACTCATTTACACATATAAAATATTAATGTAAAGCATAGAAAAACTAAATTATACTTCATTCTAAGTCGAATCGAATTATTATCAGATCAGATCAACTATAATCCATATCCAGATTCATTTATAATTGGATTATCGGATTCGAATTATTGAATTGAGAAAAAATCAAATAGAAACACCTAGCCATGATGAATACTGGAAGAAAAAAAGTAAAAAACCCCACTAATTCAATTGTATGCGTGCTAACTATATATTAATCATTTTAGAGAGCCTCCCCTCAATCTATTACTCTTGTTACCCAAATTTGCATAAAGTTTTATGTACTTTTCTTGTTTCTTGCTTTCAGATATGAGGTTAACTTCTTCAACTGTTTCAGACATTGTTTTCTCTACGCACCCACATAAGTTTTATATAGGTTTGAAAGATTCCTTCTTTCATTTAAATGATTATGAAACGAATTTCACAAGGAGGGCCAACGAGATTACTTATTAATCATGTTTAAGATGGTGTTGATTTCTTTTTCAATGTTATCCTAGCCATTAAAACTGATTTCATTTAAGGGTTAAAATAAGTGTGTATAAATGTGTGGTTTTTTGTGTGTCCCCTGATCCTATATATATTTGAGGGATGCCCTTGTAGGGCCCATTCCGCATTGTATTTAACTAATTCAAACATCTATTTTGTAGATATTCATTCAAAGATCATCTCTACAAAAAAAAAATCACTTGAATCCGATATCATTTAACTACTCAATTAAATTATTGAAATTTAAATACTTTCTTGAAGCACCGTGTTCATTAATTTTGTTGATCTCAATTAGATGCCTTATTGATTTTCAATTTCCATGAATTTTGGCAAGGATGATCTATGAATGAAGATGTGAAAAATAGATGTTTTGGATCGTTGAATTTTTTTATAGTCTAATAGTACTTTTCTTTCAAATATGTTTGAAGAGGTGTCAAGTTGGAATCCCTTTACTTGGTTTATTAAAAAGGAAAATAGAACGAGAAATGTATATCTTAAATCAAAGCTTCTTAAAAGTCCTGAAGTTGTAGAAATTTACTTATATCGATGATTAGAATGAATAATCATTCATTTTTTACTGAACCAAGTCCTCCAGCTACGTAGCTATAATTAAGGTGGGAGAATAGTGCGTGGATTGCTTGTGGAGTTGTTTCGTTTGCACCACGGTGAAGGAGGTGACCTTCTGGATATTTACTCTGCTAGTATAATTACCAAATATAGTAACAGTAGTGTTGTAGCTACGTACGTATCCTGTCGGCAGGAAATTAATTTATTAGAATAAATGACCAAATTTGGTCTTGTTCATCATGATTCATGGTTAGCCGCGTACGACGCAAAGGCGGGGCCGGTGAACCAATGGACGTCGTGGAGTGGTTTATTGGATTGTGGAATGTTCAAAAGTAGTAAGAGATTTGAATTCATTCTGAGTTGTCATATATATTATATAACTTTTTTTCTCAAACAAAAAAACATGTTGAGGCTTGTTTTTTAGCGTATAATATGTTCATACTTGCACTCAATTATTAGGGTTTTCCTTATGTTCTTGGACAGAGGTGGGGATGTTCATACATGTGGGCACAAAGGAAACCTTGCAGAGTCAAGAATGGTGCGGGGAGACATTCGAGATCAAAAGTAACATAAGGTCTAACAGGCTGCTGCCGGTAATTAAGGTTTATACTACTAGCAAAACAAAAACAGAAAACGTAGTACGATTTGGTAGGCAGAAGAAAAAATATAAATAAAATTATTGACAACATCGATCCTAGGTATAACCAAACGTGCCCAACCCCCCGACAGCATCTGCACTCAACCCACAGACAGCATTTGGACGGGGAGAAAAGAGAAAGCTCATGGAACATTGAGCAATTTAGAATTTAGTTGTACATAGTCCAATTTAACTATATTTTGGCACGCGCCCCATGACTTTCTTGCATTCCATTCTGGTCGATTGGATAAGCCTCTTCAGTGGGAAGAAAAGGTCTAATGCAGATCAACATTACTAATTAAAGTCCCGTTCGGAGCCGAAATATCCGGATTTCGTTTACATCTGCAGTCCGCACGTAATTACATAGAAAATTACTGCGAATAGAAAGGTTGATAGTATAAAAAAAAAGTGGCAACAATTACCATTATTTGGTGATATTTGATGACTGTTGCGGGGGTTACTAAAAGCTTTAGTTATGAAAAAAAGCAAAAAAGGTTTTTTAGTCACCAAAAAAGTCAAAAAAGGTGACTAAGCCTTTAGTACCTGTACAACAGTCACCAAATTTGGTTACATAATGGTAACGATTGCCACTTTTTTTGATAGTGTGAGGCTTAGAACCCCTTTTCTAAAGTAATTTTGTTGGGCACCGGCTTGATTGTTACTTGAAGAGGTTTGGATGGTTAAAAGTCATACAAAAATCAGTCATTTCTTTGATGATTCTCAATCATCCCTGCTTTAGCACTCAGTTTGATTAACGAACGGGTCGATTAATTGGCTAAGTCTTTTCAATTAATGGGAAAAAATGGTCTATTGTACTAAAATATAAGAAGCCGAAATATTTGGAGGGCGTTTACACATGCTATGCAGATTTTAAAAGGAGTTCTTAGATCTAGGTCCAAAACGATTAGCTGTCCTTGAGTTTAGTCTATGCGTTTTTGGTTTTAGATATAGGTCCTTTGACTTTTATTACTTTTTTGTAGTATCGATTTTACCCATTGAGATAAATAAGGAAAACACATTGAAAATCTAAATTTAATGCATTATTTCCTCGTAATTGAATTTCAGAATTTAAATTTTGAATTCTTTCCTTGATAATATTTACCTAATATATGGATAAAATACAATTTAATTAATGATAGTAAAAACCCACATATTATACCAATTATTTAGGCAACACCCACATGAAATTATGTACATTAACATACAGGTAAATAGTGTTATTATTAGCAATGGAAAAAACTTAGTGATGTGTTACTTATAAGTTAGGAACATAAATTAAAAGACTACCTATAAGTTAGGAACATAAATTAGAAGACTATCTATAAGTTAGATACTAAAATAGACAAATAAAAATTGTATGTTACCTATTAAAAAAAAGGTACATAAATGAAAAACACATATATATATATATACCTATGCAATAGGCAATAGAACAATATACTTACACCATAGGATAATATATATCTACAAGACTATGTAATATACCTCTACCATATAGGGCAAACAAAAATAAAAATTGTTACCTATAACTCATGTGCTAAACGATGTGTTGTTGTATTTGCTTCCCCAAAAACATGTAAATAGAGGCTCGAGCAAATTGAGCCAAAATAGACATGCAGTCATCCACCAAGCACCCTGCTGTGCCAAATGAATTTCAAGAGACTTTCCATATTTGACATCAAAATGGTCCCCAAGAAAAAGGAAATGCTTGCTGCCATGGAGGTTGCTGAGGTGAAGAAGAAGTGGGAGAACAGCTCTTGGGGGTAGGAAATTGATTGTTCAGAAGAGAAGTGCATCTTAAAAAATATCATGATATTTAGTTTACAATTTTGCCATGGATTTTCTTTTGAAAGCTTTATGTTTGGCACAGTGAAAGAGATAGGGGGGGGGGGGGGGGGGGGGGGGGGGGGG